TTATTAAGTTCTCAATGGGTGAAATTTTGTATACAGTATACAAAAGTTTCCTTATATAAATAAAAGTTTCTTCAAACTTCTTTATACGCCCATTTACACGCTTGCAGTCAATTATCCACACACGTTTTACTACACGGGTCGCTTCCCACTACAGCACGGTGACCTGGGTTGCTTCGCACTACAGCAGGGTGACCTGGGTAGCTTCCCATTACAGTAGAGTGACCTAAAGAAAGAAGAGAGTACGCACCATCTTCCTAACCTGTTTCATAATTCTCATTCGTGTAAATGCATCTCATTTTACTACTGGGACAGTTTTTAACACTTGATAATTTAGTAATAACCTCTAGTTATTTGCATCGAATTAGGATGAAAAAAATATTGCTGAGAAATCACAAAAGACGAAGTTGATATGATTTTTGACGCTTACACAACCAATGGAAAGCCAATGTACTTTTAGATGACACAGTGTTGATGAGGTGCGTATTTGTGTTTTGTCTCCGTTTAAAAATACAGTAACATAGGTACTAATTACAGAGCTGACCTTTGAGAACATTGCCGTATTTTGTATTTTATGAGAGAACACATTAAGGAAGTCATGCTCATGCAAATTTAAATTACAGTGGAGTTTTCAGGACCATACACAAAATAGATTGTTTAATATATATATATTTCAGATGTATTATCCTAAGGAACATATTAGGAAGACAATATGAAGAATAATGTTACTACGGCGAAGAGCCCTATGAAGAAAATCACAAGCCTGGTCGCCCGTCCGCCCGTCCGCCCGTCCGCCCGCCCGCCCGCCAGCCTGCACACAAGCCTCCACACCACCTGAGGCTACAGATAGCAACTTAATTGAATGTGTCATACATGTATTGGACTACCATGGATGGTGACATACGACCTGACCAGCATATGTAGTCCCCTGCTTCATCTCAAGCAAATATTTTCTTGATCAAGTTGACACCATAGTCCTCGCTACTACGACCATTATTACCAAACCACAACCACTGCCACATAACCACAGGACCATTATTACAATACTGTAACCACCACCGCTGCCCCAGTACAACCAGTACTACAATGTAGTCAAATCAACACACCAACCAGCAACACACAGGTGCAACAAAAGCAAAACAGTCACTATTAGCAACACTACTACACTGCAAGTACACCAATACTACCACTACACTACACTACCACCAACACAGCACCACCGTCACCATCTCTCATTACCAACATCACAAGAGAAACATACCACCTCACTACAACATAGAATTATCAGCACCGCCACCACGGCACTACCCTAACAACCATTACTTCCACCACTCTACCCCAGCAATACCACCACCACAACAACCACTTCCACCATCATCACACTATCACCACCATACTAATACTATTACAACAACACCCACCGCCACAATATCACCATAACTCCACTACACTACCACTAGGACCATTGACTCCATATTGGTACTGTTTACCCTAAATATTTGACGTGCGTTTTATCGATGGATGATTTTCTTTCAAGGAATTAGCTTCAGATGGTAAAATTAGTTTTAGATTTGCTGCACCTAGAAAAATAAACAATCAAATTCACACAGATACAGATATATTTTTTTATTAACGTCGGCCGTTTCCCACCAAGGCAGGGTGGCCCGAAAAAGAAATACTTTATCATTCACTCCACCACTGTCTTGCCAGAGGCACGCTTACACTACATTTATAAAATTGCAATAATATTAATATATATATATATATATATATATATATATATATATATATAATATATATATATATATATATATATATATATATATTATATATATATATATATATATATCCTGCCTTAAAAAAGCCACGGCTACAATATTACTCCTTTAAGTTTGAATAAATACATGTATCACTAAAATACTATTAAATATTTATACGTATATGCTCGCCCTCAATGATAAATATAAGCAAATCATGCATTATAAATTAAAATTTACTACACGTTTATTTACTACTTGTGTGAATCCCTTATAAGTATTAAAGTAAAAATCGGTTGGGAAAAAAATATCTGGCTTTGCTCAACAGCTGATTTTTGTTTATATTGTACATGAATCTGCTCCGGCTGGTAGATGCCACATGTCGCTTGTTTGCTGGTTTATTGGTTTAAAGTCTGTCGACTACACATGGGCCATTAAGGCTGCATGTCACCTTGACATTACCAGTCAACGGTATTTTAATCCCTAATGTAAGGAATACAGAATACTACTGATGTATTTTCACGGAGCCATACACCTCTCGGTGTATATAACTCTGCGTGTGTTTTGTGATGTATCTCAATGTTTTCGTATAATTTCATTTGTTTTACGTTCATTTGTATTTTTGTTTAATGGTTTTGTAAGGGCGACTGTGCTAATAATAATTTTATATCAGTAATAGTTATAGTAAGGAAAAGGTTAGTAATATTACCAGTTAAAAACAAATAAAAATTTTGTTAGGAAATAATATATTATTAATATATAGGATAATGGCA